CACACAGATCTAAAATAAACATGCGATTTATTTCCCAGCTGTTTACCTTCACAGACATAACCTACTGTTTTTTGTAACTCGTGTGTTTTTAATGTAAACTTGTCTGTGAATGAGAACTTAGTTTAGTACTCACATGCTATGACAGTCGCTTTCTGTCCGTGTGCTTCGGATGTGTGCATTTAGAAAACCGTATATCATAAGTTTAAACTCATATGGTTTATAAACATGATTTCAGCGCTATAAACATGATAATCAGAACCAAAAGGCAAGGCAAGGCAAGGCAAGGCAAGGCAAGGCAAGGCAAGGCAAGGCAAGGCAAGGCAGAGACTCGGAACAGGGTACAAGGCTAAACAATACTCGGCAGAGAATGGTTGTATGAGTGAGTGTTATATAGTGAATGTGTGATTGATGACAGCTGTGTGCAATCAGTGCTGTGTGCAATCAGTGCAATGGCTGATGGGATATGTAGTCCGGGATGACATGCAACAGTTTGTGTTGTGCGAGAGTCAATGTAATGAAAGGGTGACCTCTGGTGGTGATTGAACGGAAGTCCATGGACAGGATTCATGACAGCTTCCACTCAAAAGAGGCATTTTTAAAATTATATTATATATGATCTGTGGAGTATTTTGAGCTGAAACTTCACAGACACATTCTGGGGACACCAGAGACTTATATTACATATTGTAAAAAGGGGCATAATATGTCTCCTTTTTAAATAATACATTTATTTAACAGAGATGAAGGAAAAGGGGTAGTAAAGAAATCGTTATAAAGGAAATTAAGCAGCACAATTGTTTTCGACATTGATAATAAGAAATATTACTTGAGGACACAATCAGCAAAATTAGAATGATTACTAAAGGATCATGCAACACCAAAAACTGGAATAATGGCTGCTGAAAATTCAGCTTTGCCATCACAGGAATAAATTACATTTCAAAATATATTCAAATAGAAAACAGTTATTTTAAATTGTGCTAATATTTCACAATATTACTGTTTTATTGTATATTCTATTTAATAAATGCAGCCTTGGTGAGCATAAAAGACTTAATTTAAAAACATTTAAAAAATCATGCCAAAGTTTCAAACGGTATTGTAGATCAATGTATAAACTTCTAAATGTGTATAATCTTTTCTAATGTATAATTCTAATTTCTAATTCCAGTTCAACCTACTTTGGATGGACGATGTGGAAGTTTGACCCACCAGCAGCATAGTTCACGTGGATACCCACTCACTGCTTCTCTTACTGTTGCCCTTGCAGTACGATGCAATCCCACATCAGGTTATTATAGGAGAGCATTTGCATGCTTTTGAAAATCTATTACAGGCACAACTGTTAAATTCCAAGAGACAAAGTATTCTATCAGTTTTCAAATTTTGATCATAAAATGTGTATTATTATTTTCGACAGTGCTGAAAAGACATGTAACCTGTGAAGAGCTGTTATCTCCAGGTGCTCCTTATGTAAAAAGAGTTCTTACGGTAAGTCTTGCATACATCATGCTTAGCTGGCCATGAAAAGAACATTGAACTACAGATTGTTCATGTGAGTTTTATAATTAAAGATCCTCGGTGATGCCCTAGGCTGGGGCTTTGTAGTACGTGGAAAATCACCTTGTTATGTTCAGGCTGTGGATCCTGCAAGCCCTGCTGCAGCAGCAGGAATTAAGGTGATCATAACACGTAAACACAAACACAGCTGCTTACGCAATAAAAGTTTAGAATCCATCATCAGCTGGTCTCTAATCTATTTTATTAAATTTTTTTTGCTTAGGTTCGCCAGTTTGTGTGCCGAGTGAATGGACGCAGTGTGCTTCACTTAGACTATCATACTCTTTCAAAGCTGGTGATGACTGGACCCCGTGTTGTTACTTTGGAAGTCATGGAACCACTGGATTAATTCAGTATAGGTGTAATTAAATACATTTGTAATTTATATATATATTCATATACAGTGTTGGGGGTAACTCATTACAAGTAACGCGAGTTACGGTCCAGATTTAAAAAGTAACGCAAAAGTAACGTAATTAGTTACTTTTTTATGGAGTAACGCAATATTGTAATGCATTACTTTTAAAAGTAACTTTCCCCAACACTGTTCATATATAGCATAGTAGGTGAAGGATTTGCAATATTTCTTCTCCATATACCATGTGCATCTTGTAGTATGTTAACATAACATAATGAAAAAATATTAATTTGGGGTTTAAACAGAAACATTAGCAATTATCATACTGATCTATAGCTTGATGTCAGCTTAAAGTTTTGGTTCTGGATGAGAAGGGTGTAAGCACTATTCACAATTTAGAGGGACATGTCCTCCCAATATTCAGATTAGTGGTCCTCCATAACATAAACGTTCATAATAAGAACAATAACGTGTTTAGAAAATAGATAAGGTGAATTTTAATTTCATCTCAGCTTTAAATGATTAAGTTTGGTGCCTTCATCTTGAATATGTACAGAAGAGATCAAAATTAGAGAACAATCTGAATACTTGATTATTTTTTTTCTGAAATAGTGTTAATCTTCATTGCTCAAAATGTGAAGGAATATTAGCTGTGGGTATAACACTGTTATACTAATATGTTTGACAAAATAACCAAGGTATTTCAATAAAAACCTTTATGTGGAAAAGACAGTGTTGAAAATTAGAGAACAGTAACCACTAGAGCACAAAAGAACGTTACACCTAACATTTTGGAAGGTTACAGCTGTCAAAAATTAGTAGGAATTGTAGGTCACAGGGTATCGCTAGTTTCTCACACTGCGCTGGTGTGATCATCTTCTTCCACTCTCTTCAATAGCTCAGTAACTGTAGTGGGTTTCTTAGCCATAAATTTATTGCCAAGGATTTCCCAGAGATTTTCAGTTGGGGTTAGAGCTCTGAGACTGCCTTTCATTATTTCAGTGTTCTTGGCTTCAAGGAACTGCTTTACCTGTTTTGCAGTGTGAAGGGGGCTTTGTCTTGCATGAAAATTGCAGGCTGATTGGAAGATGCTTGCAGGGAACACACTGCATGTTGTTGAAGGATGTTGCTAAAGGAGGTTCTGATAAACATTTGCATTCATCCTGCCATGTATCTATAAGAGGCCCAACTCCTGCTGCACAAAACATCCCCCAAAGCATAACAGTTCCTCCTCCACATTTCACTGACTTCTTAGTTCTTTACAAACTTGGGGTTCAGTCTTTCCTCAGTTTGATGCAGAACATAATGTTTCCCATGTGACCAAAATAAATTAAACTTGTTCTCATCACTAAAGTGAACTTTGAACCAGTTATTCTTTCTCCACACAATTTGCTCCTCAGCAAATGTGAGCCTAGCCCCTTTTTTTTTTCTCCTGATGATAGACTTTGTAACTGCAGAGAGCATTTTCAGTCCAACTTCTCTTAAACGTGCCGAGACAGATCCATACCCTGTTCATCACTAAACTGGCAAGCAATTCCAGCTGCAGTGTTGAACCGATTCCCCATAAAGAGTCAGAATTCAATTAATTTATAAAACATTTGCTTCAAAACTTATACTCCTGTTAGGGTAACTTAGGACTAAGCAGTGAGCTTGAAATGTAGGAAATTGTAGGTTGTTCTCTAATTTTGATCTCCACTGTATGTGCAAGTGAGAACACTGTGTCATGTACAAAGACACAGGAACAACTTTGGTTCAAGTTTATGCCAAAATACAGTTGATACAGCTAATTTTTAAATCATAAACTTACCCTCATTCATTTATGTTAATGTTGGACTGGCATATGACAGTAGTCTTGGATTTGACACTACCACCTCCAATGTTGATGACATGTAACCAGCACTAATCCTAATCACTAAAACAATTTCATAATCTCTGATGTGTAAACCCAAACGAATAAAACCAATACAAGAACAAAAGCTGCAATTATTTAATGAATCGACGACTTAAACCTACATGGTACTTGTGTGGCGGTGATGAATGTTCTTCCCCAGAATCAGTGTGGCCCCCTTTGAACTTTACACAAATATGTCATTTCCGTTTGCAACCGTCGGCCAAGTAATATGGTGTGGTGATTTCAATGCCCATAATACACTATGGGGGAGTATTAAAACAGATTATAATGGGCTGATTGTGAAATCATACACAAATAGAAATTAAGTTAGCTTTAAGTAAAGCTGAATTCAAGAGAGTGATATCATTTGAAGTAAGTAAGAAATGGCAAACGTTATGGAATAATGGGTCTAAAAGAAGACATCTTTTCCAGATTCAGGAGTGTGTTGGAAATGAGAGGAAAAGATACGGAAATAGGAAGAAAGATGTCATCTTATCAAGACTAAGAATCGGACATACAGCATTAAACTATAGTCTTTATAAAATAGGTAAGCATGAATCGGGAAAGTGTGACAAATGTGGAGAATTAGAAACAGTGAAACATATTATTGTTGAGTGTTCTGCATATGAAAGGGAGAGATTTCAATTAATTCAAGAATTAGGATGGCTGGGAGTTGATAATATTTCTTTAAAAGTATTGTTAGGAAATGGGTCGAGGCAATCAAGAGTGCAAGAAAATATGTTTAAATACCTGAAAAACACAGGAACAATAGATAGAATCTAGTTTTTTTCTTTTTTTTTCTTTTCTTTTTTTTTTCTCCTTTCTTTCCCTTCTGTATTTCTTTCTTCCAAATTTATGCACACTCCACACTCCAGATCAGTAGGTGGCGGTAATGCACCTCTTTCGCTGGTTTGCCAAACCGCCATAAAACACCAGAAGAAGAAGAAGCAACCATCGGCCATTTTGAACAGGCTGTGCTAGTATATGGAACGGAACAGTCTCAAAGAGAAAAAAAAGTCTGTTCTCTGCCCCGTGTTTGTACTGAATTGACACAACAGTCTATCCAAATCGTATATTAAAGAACAAGGCTATGAGGTCGACAGAAACTGTCCAGTAACCTGTGTTAGTCCAGTTGATGACACATGGTGCGGAAATCCACCGGCGGCGGCAGCGGCGCGAAGAACGGCAGCATCTGCCGAATAAACCACAATCTGTCTGTCCTCTCACCCTAACTCTTCATTGGGCCTGAAAGCAAAGCGCTTGAAGGGAATTACATGCGAGACCGTGAAGTAAAGCAGGTAATGTGTGATTATAAAGGTCTGCTTTTCTTTCTTTGGCATCGCTACTTTTGTGTGGAGTTCAGTGTGCACATCAAACATCCAGTGTGGCTAAGCTAACGCGCTAACTGCATATATGTGCATGGAGTAACAATTGTTTTGTTATCGCTAAACTAAGTTCGTTTTTAAATGAAATTATACATTAGAAGCACTTCGCTCTCGTTGGAAAGTTGGTACATGCGGTCAGACCAACGCCAGCGTAGCCTGTCAAAATAAATTAGGTATTTTTTGCTGAGCCTATCACAAAGGCCTGCTGTGTCCTGTATTGTCTAGTGCAGTTGCATTTATAGGAGCAACAGTCCCGGCTGCAGTTGCTGCATGCATGCATGCATGCATGCATTGTGTTTCAGAAGTCAGGTTTATATAAGAGTGGTTTGTTTACATTCTGCAAAATCTATCACACCATTGACCCTATAGTGCTGCATGTGTAGTGTGGTTCATTGCCCATAACTGATTGTTACCGGCTAACTATGTCAAGGGATGAGGATGCTAAGTCTTCTGACAAGTTTACAGCACCACTTTTATAATAAATGCACATTGCATTTAGATTAATTAGTTGTTTACAATACAATATTTGATGTGCACAGTGACATGCACTAAATGCAGAAAAGATTTTGAGCAGGGTTTATTTTGAGCAGGGTTTATTTTGTTTGGGCAATGCATGCACATTTACACACTGAGTGTTTTGTAATTTTCAGAACACATATCTTAATAATTAATATGTGTGTTTTTGTACATTAAAAGTTTAATATGGTTGTATTGTTTAAAAGAATAGTGGTTAGTTTACCCAAAAAATGAAAACCGTAATCATTTACTTTCATGTTTTTCCAAACACATAAGATGTTAAAAATATCTGTTTTTAATGGAACTGAGCGATTTCAGTTCCTCCATTGAAAGTCAAGTTCACCTTAAAGGGTTAGTTCACCCAAAAATGAAAATTAGCCCATAAATTACTAACCCTCAAGTCATCCTAGGTGTATATGACTTCCTTCTTTCAGACGAATCCAGTCGGAGTTATATTAAAAATGGTCTTTGATCTTTCAAGCTGTTTAATGCCACTCAGCGGGTGTTGCATGCATCAGTCCAAAAGAAGTTAAATAAAAAGCGCCCGTCCATAAAAAAAAGTGTCTTACACTGCTCTGGGGGGTGAACAAAGGCCTCCTGTAGCGAATCGATGCGCTTTTGTAAGAAAAATGTCCATATTCAAAACATAATAATCACTTTAATGTAGCTTGCGCCAACAGTTGTACACAGAAGCAGTTCTGGGAGCATGACGTATGAGGTCAGCGGTGCGCATGCGCCGGTGAGCCTTGTGAAAACCAACGTTTGTTAACAGGAGCAAAGGAAGCAAAGTTTCCTTACTTTAGCAAAGGAAAACCAATCTCCTCTTGGCTTATATCGAAATCCTCCGACATTCTTCTTTACAAATCCTTGTTTTGTACTTCTAATTAGTGACCGTTGTTTTGTTTTGATCTCTCCCCTAAGCTTCCGCGTTCGCCACTTCTGAGCGGCGCATGATCAAAGCTGAACTCATAATCCTCCAACATTCTTCTATACAAATCCTCGTTTTGTACTTCTAAATGGTGACCGTTGTTTTGTTTTGATCTCTCCCCTGCGCTTCCGCGTTCGCCACTTCTGAGCGGCGCATGAGCAAAGCTGAACTCATAAGTCATCCGCCCGGAGCTGGCACTCAGCAGGTGTTGCATGCATCAGTCCAAAAGCACTTAATTAAAATGCGCCCATCCATAAAAAAAAGTGTCTCACATGGCTCCCGGGGGTGAACAAAGGCCTTCTGTAGCGAATCGGTGCGTTTTTGTAAGAAAAATATCTATATTCAAAACTTAATAATCCCTTTAATGTAGCTTGCGCTCACTGTTGTAAACGGAAGCAGCTCCGGGCGGATGACGGATTGCTTCCTTTGCTCCTGTTGACAAACGTTGGTTTTCACGAGACTTATCGGCGCATGCGCAGCACTGACCTCAACTGTTGGCGCAAGCTACATTAAATTGATTATTACATTTTGAATATGGATATTTTTCTTACAAAAACACAGGAGGAGGCCTTTGTTCACCCCCCGGAGCCGTGTGAGACACTTTTTTTTTTTTATGGATGGGCACTTTTTATTTAACTTGTTTTGGACTGATGCATGCAACACCCGCTGAGTGGCATTAAACAGCTTGAAAGATCAAAGACAATTTTTAATAAAACTAATAATAACAAACTGGATTCGTCTGAAAGAAGAAAGTCATATACACCTAGGATGACTTGAGGGTGAGTAATTTGTGGGCTAATTTTCATTTTTGGGTGAACTAACCCTTTAAGTTTTGACAGTTTAAAAATGCACATACATAGAGCATCTTAAAGATGGTAAACGAAAGCTCAACCGTACTTGCTGGACACCTGAGAACAAACCTCAATGGTTCTTGTGAATGCTCAAACATGCCAAAGTGACGAGCAAACCTCATTGGTTTTCATGCTTAAAGCAAGTACGGTTCCATTTACCATATTTGATGTGCTCTATGTATGTGCATTGATCACAACTCTAAATCTTTTCATCATATCAAGCGATCATGTCTATTCAGAAGACTTGGATTAACCATTCAATTACTTTTACAAACTATTAATGACCTTTTTTGAAGCATCAAAGTTTTGCCTTAATGGACTTTCAAAGGAGACTGAGTTAAAAAATACCTCTAGTGTTTCAAAGATAAACGAAAGCGTTTGGAGTGACATGAAGGTGAGTGATTGATTATATAATTTTAATTTTTGGGTGAACTATCCCTTTAAAATTGTTTAATGTAATGTGCACTCTCATGAGGCTCTTAAAAGCTGGTGGCCAACATGTTGAGATCACATGACCAGCAGAATAATACTCATTATTATCCCTGTAACACCTCTGTTTTTGAACACATGCGTTTGTGGAATAGGTTAATTATGGCTGACTGCAAATAGGGCATTTCTGCAATAACATTAATAACTGAAAACCATTGCTTTTGCATGGTGCTGCATCTATACTTAATATAAGTGCATAACAAGTCTATATTGGTCTGCACAACATAATTAGTAATTGCTGAGTGAACCTTTAACAATTGGGAGCTGAACTAAAATCCTTTTTTTTTTTTCTGTTTTTTTTTTTTTTAAAGAAGAGATGTTTCAACTTCCAGTGAATAACCTCACTCGGCTGAGGAAGGCCAGGAAAAAAGTCAAGAGACTGCTGAGTGACATTGGCCTTGACTACTGCAAAGAACATGTGGAGGTGATTATTCTTGAACTGTCATTGTATTTCCTAGTCATAGTGAACATCAAATTAAAAATACATCTGTTGTGTTAATGCATATACGTAAGACTTTGCTTCACTAATGTTATTTCCTGTCCATTTTCCTGTAGGACTACAAAGATTTTAGCCCCAGTGATTCACACATGAAACAATTTTACCTTGACATTTGTATGTGGGATCCATCCTGGACAAAGTCACAGGTATGTCCCCCACAGCCACTGCAACAGAAGTCCTCAAAGCAAAATATTTTGCATAGCATAAACATTTTGTAATATTGCTTTGTTTTTCAAATGTTGCAGGACTACAGAACAAAGCAGTTTTGCTGCTCAGATTGCCCATTTGCCTCCAAGTATTTCTCTGCCTACAAAAACCACTTCCGCAATGTTCACAGAGAAGACTTTGAGAGCCGAATCCTTCTTAATTGCTCCTATTGCACATACAGTGGGAACAAAAGGACACTGGAAACCCATGTCAGGCTCTTCCATATGCCTCACAATGTGGTGCGTCAGGGTGTCGCCGGCCCTCATGGAGCTCCAATAGGGGTTAGGGACGGTATGCGATTAGACAAGCCTATGTTGGGCGATCGAAAGGAGCTCCCGGTGTACTACTGCAAGAAGTGCACATATCGAGATAGACTGTACAACGTGGTGCGCAGGCATATTTACAGGGAACACTTCCAGCATGTGACTACACCTTACCTGGGAAGAAACTCAGAGAAGCAAGAAAACAGTGTAGAGGCCCCTGGTAACAGTCATGGGATTCACTGCAAGAGCTGCCACTTCACACCTCGTTCTTATGAAGCTCTGGTCCAGCACGTCATTGAGTTCCATGAGCGCATTGGCCATCAAGTCACCACTATGATTGGGCATACCAATGTCATAGTGCCGAGGCCCCAGGCGAACGTAATCCAAAGGGGCGTTGCAATCACTCCTGGTGTGCGTCCTCAAACACCTCAAATGAATCGCTTCAGTATGCCCAAAATGGTGGGGTTACCTGTCGGCAACCATTTCAAGCAAACTCTTGCAGGCAACTCCATGCCTGGTCACCCAGTTCGCGTTACACTACCTGATAAATCTTTTGTGTCTGGTGTGGTCTCCCAGTCACATACAGGAAAACACCTGGGCGGTTTTGGAGTCCATGGTGCTACACATCTTAATGCCCAGTTAGCTTCTTTCTCTCCCTCATTGAAGAGCCTACCTCTCTCATCTGTGCATGCTGCTACTGCCACACTAACGTCACTGCAGGCCAAGAAAGCTTCAGCCAATTCTCTGAACACCTCACAAACACAAAAGTGGAAGATTTGCACCATCTGCAATGAACTTTTCCCTGAAAGCACATATAGTGCTCACTTTGAAAAGGAACATCAGGCGGAGAAGGTGAGGGCGATGGCTAAATACATCATGAAGATTCACAACTTTACTAGCAAGTGTCTGTACTGTAACCGTTACCTACCCAGCGACTCTTTGTTGAACCATATGCTAGTGCATGGGCTGTCATGCCCACAATGTCATTCCACATTTCATGAAGTTGAGAAAATTGTAGCACACAAGCGTCTGGCGCACCCTAACGAACCAGGGGATCCGCCAACTGGTTCTCCTCTAACATTCGATCTGACACTTCAGCAAGGAAATCCCAAAAATGTTCAGCTTATTGTAACCACCTACAATATGAAGGAGACCCCTGAAGCCTCTTTAGCTGGCAATCAACCACCACAGAACAGCGCCATGGCTAAGCCTGCAAAGATGGCTGTAAAGCAGCCAGATACGCAATCTGATTCTGTGGTCCGAAACATGTCTCAGTCTTCTGTGTCGCAAAAGAAAGAAGTTGGGAAAACACTCTGCCCACTATGCTTCACTATTCTCAAAGGTCCCATCTCGGACGCCCTAGCCCATCATTTACGGGATTGTCATCAAGTACTCCAAACGTTGCACCCTGTAGAGAAAAAACTAACCTACAAGTGCATCCACTGCCTGGGAGTGTACACTAGCAACATGACTGCTTCCACCATCACGCTCCATTTGGTGCACTGCCGAGGTGTTTGCCAGACCTCCAAAGGTGCCAAGCCTATTATGCCTGGACTGCGTTCACCTGGAGCTGGGTCTCTCAAACGTGAGTTAGTTACCCCAGATGCATCTGACCCCAAGAGAAGGAAGATGGTAGACCAGTCAAGGTATTACCCTACAGCCTTTGTTGAGAAGCCAGAGGAGCCAGTCGTGTTGGCACTGGATCCGAAAGGTCATGGTAACGAGTCCTACGAAGCACGCAAAGCTTTCCTTACAGCGTATTTCAATCGGCATCCCTACCCTTCCCAACGGGAGATCGAGAAACTTGCTGCAAGCCTCTGGTTGTGGAAGTCCGATGTCTCGAGCCATTTTGCCAACCATCGGCGCTCATGTGACCGGGACTTTGTCACCCGCAAACCTGTTGTGTTCCTTGGCTTTAACATCACCTGGAGCTGGGTCTCTCAAACGTGAGTTAGTCACCCCAGATGCATCTGACCCCAAGAGAAGGAAGATGGTAGACCAGTCTAGGTATTACCCTACAGTCTTTGTTGAGAAGCCAGAGGAGCCGGTCGTGTTGGCATTGGATCCGAAAGGTCATGGTGACGAGTCCTATGAAGCACGGAAAGCTTTCCTTACAGCGTATTTCAATCGGCATCCCTCCCCTCCCCAACGGGAGATCGAGAAACTTGCTGCAAGCCTCTGGTTGTGGAAGTCCGATGTTTCAAGCCATTTTGCCAACCATCGGCGCTCATGTGACCGGGACTTTGTCACCCGCAAACCTGTTGTGTTCCTTGGCTTTAACATGCGGGCAGTAAGCCAGCTCAAGCATGACATGAGCTTTGATGCAAACTGGCTGTTCGAAGTCAATGACGATGAAAAAAGCGGGTTCTCAAGGACCTCAAAATTTAGGCTGAAGTCTCCTGTTGGTTTCTCTGCAGACTTCAAGGGGAAAATGCAGCCATTAAACACTGGACAAAGTAGTCAAAGCAACTGTGCCTTCAAGCCATGCCCTGGATCATCCTCAGAACCTATTGCCATTGACTCTGACAGTGATTCAGAGCCAGAAGTGATGCCTAATAAAAATCTCAAGCAACCAACTATGGCATTAAGGCCTTCAGTAGGTCAGTCCCACGCAAAAGGGACATTGCTGCGAGAGAGCTTCCGTTGTGAAAGAGATGTCAGGGGAAGCAGAAGTTCTCCCAGAGTTGGGCCAAAAAGTCTAGATGGCTCCGTTTCAGGTTCCAGTCCTGACGAGGCGACCTGGTCAGGCAGCATGTCTTCTGAAGAGAGCCACTACAGACCAGCTGGACGATTCGAAGTGAAGGGGAAGAAAGTTGGGTTACTTGGTAGATGATGACTTTTGGTGATAGTTCCCTTTCTGTCTATCTATCCATGCCCAGATTTGTAGGTCAGACCTTTTACCTCACATTTGGCTGACATTGAACGTTATGTTATGAACTCAGTCTGAGAAGTTACACAGTTTTACTGAAAGTACTGTTTACTCTCAAAAAGCGGAAAAACTAATATACTGTATAATTTTTTTCTAACCGATCCATAGTTCTTGGTGAGTTTTTCTTTCTTTTTTTTTTGTATACTGTTCTCTGTATTTAATCATACACTTGTTGGAATTGTAACAAAATTGATAGGTTTATTGTTTTTTCCCTGATTAAATAAAAAAGGCAGTGTAATTCACAATCAAGTGCTTGGATGTTTTTTGTTGTAAAGAAATACTGAATTCAATTATTATATTTTATATATTATAAATAATATAACACGCAGACCACTATTTCAGTGCAATGTGAAGCAAGTGCTGGAATATTTATTTGAGCTTCAGAGCATTTGGTTGTGCTCAGTTAGTATTAGCGTCTCCGCAAATAAACATCATCTGTCCTTTATAATTATTTTTTGTTTATTTTAATCCTCATGAAGCCTTTTTGAAGAACTTCTCAGTTGTAACTTGACCTCTATCTTGACTATTGTACTTACACCACACTGCCCTTAGAGGTCACTGTCTGTAAGATCAATGTCATTCATTAATACAGATTATACAGTAGTCAGCATTTGAAGTGGATCAAAACCTTTCATCAAAGTTATCCTCAGGGCCGTCCTTAGCTGATGCGGGGCCCGGTTGCACCCCCCTAAGGACGGCCATGGTTGTCCTAAAACCTGCGTTCTTGTCTTGGGACAACTTTAATTAACTTTTTTGATCCACTTCAAATGTTAACTACTGTAGTTTATACAATATGTTTATGGCAGCTACATCTTTCTAAGTCAACTAAAAACTTTTATTTAGGACAGCAGTCCTAAAACCTGTTTATAGTAATGTTAGCCTGACAAATGCTTTGTAGTTAATTTCAAAAAAGCATTGTGGTCTTTGTACAGACACCTAGTTACATGATTAGTATGCTATCATTTTGAGAAGTATTATGCAGAATTTACATTGTGCTATTGCATTCATGGAGAGTATGGTTGCTCAAGATCTTTAAATGAATGGATGTCCATGAGTCTGAAAATGTGGAACGTGCACTGATTCAATATAGTTTTGATAAAAGATTTGGTAGTGGACATGTAACATATGGGGTTTGTATTTGCAAGTATTAGAGTAAGGGAGGAGAGACTGAGACACGAGAACTGTACACTCTTAAAAATAAAGGTGCTTCAAAAGGTTCTTCAAGCGATGCCATAGAAGAACCATTTTTGGTTCCACAAAGAACCATTCAGTCAAAGGTTCTTTGAAGAACCATCTCTTTCTTACCTTTTTATAATCTGAAGAGCCTTCTTTCATCACAAAGAACCTGTTGTGAAACAGAAAGATTCTTCAGATGTTAAAGGTTCTTTATGGAACCATTTAGACAAAAAGGTTCTTCTATGGCATCGTGAAGCACCTTTATTTTTAAGAGTGTAACGGATGTCGTTTTTAAATTTGCTCGACTGGTCCTGTGGTTGCTAATCTCTTGCAGTCATTTGTCACCATTTCCCCAATACATGGCTGGCCGTCCCAACAGATAAACTCAGTGAGGACAAAAACAGAAAAAATAGATACCCATCACCTGCCACTCAGAGTTTGTAAGTTCAACATTTCAAACATCTTTTATGGACTCACCATATCTGTTAAGTTTGTTTTTATTTATCAAACACTTGATATTTGTGCAAATGTCTGAGATGAGAGAGATTTTAAAAACATGTATCTATGAGTAGTGTTAAGATTCAAGATTGAACGTCTGGCAGTTTAGGCAAGCCTTTGCAAACAGAGTTTTCTGAAACTGTTTCTGATTAATGAGTCAGCGAGGGGTCAGGATTAGGTGGCGTCCACAGATGTTCATGATTCCTCGTGAGACGTGATCTCTTCACACTTGCACATGACTAATGATCAGTCATGCAATGATTTGCCCACAGTATACACAAGTATGCAAATAATTATGTATTTCTGAAATTGCCCCATGAAGTATGCTAGTTTATTTTAGGGCCTTGCTGAGGAACAAAAATCACAGGTGCTTGAGTTATGTTTGCAGTTTTCTTACAGTTTTCTTAAACATGCAACCCCCACCCCTAAGGCAAAGATAAATATGCTTTAAACATTTGCAGTCATTATTTGGAAGCTGATCCCATTCAAGGTGTTTAAAAGACAGTAAATGTGATCTCTGGTGATGCTGTGGAGGAGAGTCAGTGTTGAGAGTGTTGTGAATATAAGGTATCACTTTCACAGCACTCTAAACTGAACTGTCCCAACACCTTGCATGAGTGAAAACGGCAGTTTTTAAGTGTAAATGCTAAAAGTTAACAACTGCGTAAATTCCTTTTTTTTTATGTTGTTGTATGTGTAGGTAACAGAACACACAGTTCAAAGGCAGAGGTGTAAAGTATTGGAGTAAATGTAATTAGTTACTGTACTTGAGTATCTTTTCGGGTACTTTGTAGTTGTACTGAGTATCAAAGATATTAGCAACTTTTACTCTTTACTTCACTACATTTTTTAATGAGTATCTGTACTCTTTACTCCACTACATTTGAAATGAGTGTTGCAGTTACACATTACATTTTGCATGGACCTAGCTTTTTCTGCAGCAGTTTATTTCTGCTACAAAAGACGTGATACTGCCTATTACAGGTCACTGAAAGTACTGCGTTTTGCCCTTACCCAAACTTGTCAACAAGGCTACTTTATGTGAATGCAAGTTCCTTAGCAAGTATTTGTGAATCAGAGGTGTTTTATATATGAGATGAGGACATGACTGCAGCCGGCAATGAGGCCCAAACCAGCACATCCACTGCAAGAAGGCTTCGGCATTTTAATTTTACTTAACATATTTTATTTATCCATTATACTGAAGAGACCTTTTTGAAAGATGTTTTTTTTTATTTATTTGTTTGTTTTGTTTTGTAATTTTGAGGTGTTCAGTTTTATTTTGGTTTTAGAAAATAAACGTGATTGCTCCTCACACATCAACTCTTTCTTGTTTTTGTTTCATGCTTTCTGTGCCTTGCCCTGGAATTTTATGTCACTTCCTGTCTCCCGTAGTTTTTCCATGAAATACCAGCACATAGATCCTTGCCTCTGCCTGTTTTCCGCAGCTTCTCCACAACATTACAGTTTTTCACTGGCATGTCTCTTTGACTAGTGCATCTTTGAGCCTATATTTAGTATAAGTAAAATACTTAAGTACTGTTAAAATCAGATACTCTAAGACTTTTACTCAAGTTGTTTTGGAATTGGTGACTTGTAACGTGTAGTGGAGTAATTTTCACTGTAAGGTATCTGTACTTTTACTCATGTATGGTTTTTAGGTACTCTTCACACCTCTGTAAAAAGGTCATTGTCAACTGAAGTCAAGTCAAGTCACCTTTATTTATATAGCGCTTTTAACAATACAGATTGTGTCAAAGCAACTGAACAGCATTAATTAGGAAAATAGTGTCAATAATGCAAAATGACAATAGTAAACACAAATTTTTCAGTTAAAGACAGTTCATCATTGAATTCAGTGATGTCAACATCCAGCTCAGTTTAAATAGTATCTTTGCAATCAAGTCAACGGTATCGCTGGAAATGAAGTGTCCCCAACTAAGCAAGCCAGAGGCCAGAGGTCCTGAATACTGAATGTATTCCTACTAAACAAGTGCATACCTACAGAAAAGACTTCATTAACAGTCAAATCCAGTACATACTATAACAGTATGTGTATGTGGACACAGGCCAATTGCTTTTCAGCATATCTTGGTTCTAATATTCTCTGTAAGAATTTCAGTGCGGGTGCAATTATTTTGCCAGCATCTGGGCCACACAGCCCACAGTTGCGTTATGTACACAGATATAACAGTTTTCCCATGTGAGCTAAATTTAGGACCTGGCACAAGTGGAACCTTGGTTAAATGCTTTGTCACCCTCCGCCAGCTTTATGGAAAGTGTTTTATTTGCATGTTCATGCTCCAAAAGCAGATCAATTGTCAAATCCTCTGCGGAGTGAATGAATGAACAATGACACTATTATTGCATGGCTGGAATGACACGAAGTCCAAATAGCGAGCTCCAAACCACAAGGTCTAAAATATTTAAATAAAATATTTTGCAATATTTAAATACCATCACCACATTGAAAATGGTTACCTTTGATAGTTAAACTTATATATAAAGGTCAACATGTAACATGTTGTTTGGTATCAGTGAGGGGTTACTTAAGCTTAACTGCAGGGGCAAATCGGACAAAAAACACTTCTATAGTATTAATCAGCAGGCTATATAATGGTATTGAATGTGCAATATTTCATTAATATATTTTTTTATTCTTTTTTTAATGTGCTTAAATCTTTTAATCATTTAAATTAATGAACACAAAA